CTTTCCAATCTGGCTACATTCTTCCTGAAATGTGGTGCCCAAAACTGGACCCAGTTCTCCAAGTGAGGCCTTGCCAGTGCTGAAACGAGCAGAAGAATCACTTCCCCTGATTAGCAAGCGACACTCCTGTTAATGCAGCCCAGTATGCTGTTGATATTTTTTGCGACATGAGCACACTGTTGGCTCATATTCAGTTTATGATCTGCTGTCATCCCTTCTGTGGTCCTTTTGTGCAGTACTACCAGTCTGCATTTGCACATGCAATTACTTTGTTCCAAATGCAGTACTTTGCACTTGTCCTTTTTTGATTTTCATTTGGTTGATTACAGACCATTCTTCCAGACTATCCAGGTCATTGTGAAACCTATTGTTGCTCTCCAGTGTCTGCAACTCCATCCAACTTGATTTCATGCGCTACATTTACTAAGCATGCACTTGATCCCATCTCCAAATCATTAATGACAACGTAAAGCAGTACTAGGATGGACACCTGGAGCCCCTTTTTGATACCTCCTCCCAACTAGATATTAAGCCATTGGTGTCTGCTTGTTGAGTGCGATGATTCAACTAATTACGTATCCTCTTGCACTAATTTAGTCTGTATCTTATTAGTTTGTTAATGAGAATGTTATGACAGACTCTCTAAAAGCCTTGCTGAAGACAAGGTACATCACATCCACTGACCTCTCCACATCCTGTCACATTTTAGAAGGAAATTAGGTTGGTCAGGTATAACTAGTTTTTTTGTGAAACAATGCTGGCTGTTTCTGTTGCTGCTGGCTGTTTAACCTTGTCTTAAAGATGAGCACTATATATGTCCTTTTACAATCATGAGGGACCTTACCCAACCTCCTTGAGTTCTCAGAGAGGATAGCTAATGACTCCGAAATTACCTTAGCCACTTCTTTCATTACTCTAAAGTGCATATTTTCTGGCCTAACTGAGTTCAAAGTATCTCGCTTTCTAGATACTTTCTAGTATCTAGCTTTCTTGAGTAATTTCCACCTTGTTCTGCTAGGATTGTTAGCTGTTTGTCTCCTTCTGCTAACTTTGTCATCTGGTAGCTACCCCTGTTTGTGAAGACTGAAGTTAAAAAGGCATTGAATACTTCCACTTTCTTTTCAAAGCTAGATTACGCTATCCGTGCCTTAAGGGACCCATGGTATTTTTGGTCTACCTCTTGACATACATGTAGAATCCCTATTTTTGCCTTTTTAAGATGCAGCTAGTACGAGACATAATTATGCCTTCCTCGTTTCCTGCCTGCATGTCCATGAAATACTCTTCTATTCTTCCATAGTAATATGACCAAAATTCCACTTGTTGCAGGATTCCTTTGATAGCTTTTAAAATTTTTCTTCTAAGTAAATTTATGGTTCTGCATTATAACATTGATAGTCATTACCTTACAGCTTGGACAAGACTTGTGATATTGCATTTACTCACTATTTGTCCAGAATATTTTGTACTGTAAAGGTATTTTTGGATTAAATGTGGTAACAATCCCCTTTCATGCCCTAATGCATCTCCTTATTCTCAACCTTTTTGGACTCAAGGCACTCATTAGACTTGAGGCATCCCTCATTAAATGCCTGCTCTTAGTTTATGCTCATTTTTAGGTTATAGGAAGAATAATAGAACAGTTTTTCTGTTGCAAAGAGCTCAGAAAGATCACATCAGGTCAGTATGTTCTTAATGCTGGATCCCTATTTGAAGTCTCTAGGTTTATCTTGTGAATCGTGTTTCCTCACCTAACAGCACTAATGTTGTTTGGCACCCTGTGGTGCCCTTGAAAGGGCACCTGAGGGTGCTGCTACACCCTATTTGAGAATCAGTGTCCTAATGCTTTGGTAACCTCCGTAAGTCCAGCACGTGACCCTGCCATTTTTCTGTGTTTTTATTTTTTCTGTTTACTTTTGGATCCACCAGCTGGAATTTCAACTTAATTTACAGTGCCAGTGAATGCAAATGTTCTTTGGAATATTTTCCTTTCCAGACATTCTAGAAACACATCTTTCAAGCATGCCAGATATCTCTTAGGTCAGCAACTAATCCATTCTTTTCATCACTAATAGCACTGGGGACATCATTATCCAAGTCCTTTTTTCACGCATAGAGAATTTTAGCCATCTTATCCATTTCTTTCTCTTCCCATCTACTGTTGAGTTATGTTCAATACACTCTCATACGTGTCACTCAATACTGCTTCTCTTACTACTGCACTTGTTGCAGCTCTTGTCTGTTTTGCATAAATGGTTTGGTCTGTCTCCATTTTGCCACTGTTTGAAGACTTCAGCAGTTCATTGAATCTCCATGTCCTACTACCACACTTCCCACTTTGTTTTCCTTACCCAATTTGGTATCACTTAATAGATTTTTTCCGTAGCTGTACGTATAGTCTATTTCTCCATGTCCCAAACTGTAACTGCATCAAGCTCTTTAGTATTATGACAAGACTGTGGGTTGATTTGGCCATCTATCCCAGGCGCTCTGTTATGAATTAATTTCTACCATTTCATCCCTCTCCACACTATTCCCTTTCTGTATTATTCTTTGAAAATAGCCCAAAGTCAGCAAGTATCACATGGTGCTGGGGCACTTCATCTCACAAGGTATCCACCTTCCACTTCCATTCTATTTTCACTTCTAGTCATTGGGAAATCTTATATTGAACGGCTGTCTCTTTTTAGGTGATTCTATGTTGATCTTTTTTCTGGAAAACTGTGTTGACCAATACTATAGTTTGGGCTTTTTCAGGCTCTCAAAATGTGTCTCACTATGTCTTTTGTCCATATCTATGACCCAACTGGAGTGCATCATACACACTAGGATTTATGAGTCTGTGCATTCATGTCCACTACAGTGATGATCCTCCCAGTGCATGGACAGATTGCTGTTTGTAGACTTGATGAAGGGCTAGGTTTCCTGATAAAAGCAGACAACAAATAACTAGGTCAAGTAATATAAAAAAGTTAGGCAAAAGGAAATAGAAGTTAAGGAACTAGAAATAGGCTAGGTCTGTAGAGCAGGGATAAACTCAAGATGTGATACAAAAGTTACTTCATTTTGCTGGGACAGGTCCTTGGAACAGTCTTGTTTGGAGCAACAAATAGTTGTTTCTACAGTTATTGTAAAGATATCCTTATTTGTGCACTGTTGACTTGAATTCCTTTCTGCCCCATACAAAGTTATTATTGTCAGTCAGCTACCTTTGGCTTTGCTGCCAGAAGTTGTCAATGCAAACTGTCATCAATGATAAATCCCATTTCTAGTTCTCTGTCTGGAATTACCCTGATAAGGTAAACTGTTTCTATCTATCCTTGCCAGTTTGGTAACTTAAATACATACAAGCTTTCTCATCCTTCCTAGTACATCAGAAGTCACTGCACATCTTCTCCCCTTCCATGATATTACTGGGAGTTTTGTGTCCTTTATATAAATGTCAGTGGTTGTCATAGGGACTGTCCTTCCACTTATCTGGGTGACGTTATTTTTTGGGCTATTATCTATTGAAGGTTTCTGCCTGCAGGGCCTTCTGTTTCTTTTCCTAAATGTCTACCTTCCCTTTTCCTTCCAGGTCCTCTTGCAATGTTTGAAGCCATTGGAGCCATTCCTCAAACTCGATTTGGGGATTGGGTGGAGAGTAGCCAAACATAACCATCCTTTTTCCACTTCCCCACACAGGTTATCAAGGTCCCACACCAGACTTAATTTACCACATCCAACGAGGGGAGGTGGAGCTCTGGGTCTGTGATGAGGAGCCTGGAGAAAGTGTATTGTCTCAGGGCTTGTCCCCAGGTGAGTTGCAGCAATTCTCCCTGTTACCACTTCTTAGTTCCTCTTGTCACTCTGGGTACTGAGCAGTACTGGAACCCTCCAAATCTGTCTTGATCTGCCACTCCAGCACAGTGATTTCAAATGGCTTACCCTGATTTTGTGGTTTCCGCATAGGTGTGTGTTTCTACTCCCTGATTTTCTGGGAGAAATGAGGGACTGGGCTGCAGATAGGCTGGGATTCTCCTCCAAATGCTGCTGGTACTTCCTTTTTAGGAAGGGAACAATGGCAGTGTTTAATTAGTAATTCTGGCCATGTGTGGCAGCCACATTCAGGTGGGCTTAATGAGCTTACATGCTTTGGGGGTTCTAAACTTATGGTTTGCACCAGAATATCCCGCTTTGTGCTGAATCTCTGGGGCCCTGTGTCAGCCATGCTGGGACCTGAGAGCCAGAGTCCATGTGCAAGTTAACCCCAAGCCTTTGCTCTGGTCCAGATTCCTCTGGGACAGACAACACATGGGACCTGTTGAGAGAGGAAACTTCCATGGGCTCATTCCCTCACCCAAACCCTTCCCTGCAAGCAGATAGGAAGCAAAGTTGTTTCTGGAAAGAGCAGAAGAGCTACAGAGTTCTCATCAGGCGTGGTGCATCACTTGTAAACCCCCTCCTCTCAGCGTGTTTCCTTGGGGGATGACATGGTTTGTTTCATCTTCCAAACCCAGCAGCCCTTATGGCTTGCTTATACCGCAGCAGTGGTCTGTCCCAGAGAGGGCAACACTCAGCATGCCCTGCACAACCACATCTGCTAACAGACTTCAGACCCAGAAATCTTCCACTGAGGCTGCTTCAGACTTGCCGCCAGATTCCATTCTCAGCACTGCCACAGACAGGGAGCTCAAGAACAAGCTCTGGGGATGAGCCCTAAGCAGCCTCATGGGTGACTACCTTGGCCTTGAGCAAGTTAGGGAACGTGGTTGAATGGGGGAGTGCTCAGAACAGTCTTTCCCAGGCTCCACCATTGCTGTTTAGAGACAGGGCCTTAGGGAACTTCATTCTACATTTAGGCAGATGGTTCTGATTTTACGTTCTGCCTTGGGGAGTATTGAGCAATTCAGATTCTGTGCTAGCACACATGTTCCTTGTGTGTTCCATCTCCTCCCTGCAAGAGGTCCAAGCTAATATACTTTTCCCTTGTCGTGGAAACACACGCAGCATACTTTTGGGTCAGGTCAGCAGAAGCTTTTATTTAAAAGAAACTACAGCTGTAGGGGGGACTCCAAAGTGACATGGATCTCCCAAGCACTTGGAAGGGGTCCCCCCCCAAGAGCAAAATCAGGAGGCTTATATACTTTTTAACAGTTGCTTACAACTTACGTGATCATATAGTGAAATTAGCATGAAAAGCGGCTATAACATTACTTTATTATTTCTTTGCTGTAATCAGGATGGGAACTAATGGGGGAGGCGAGGTTAGTTCACAAACCTCCTTCTTGCACCTGCAAATCAGAGTTGTACATATTTTTTGCTATCTTCAAGGCCGCGGTGAGCGAAGCAGTTGCAGAGGAGTTACAAAGAACAAACACTTTCTCTTATCTGTTCTACTATACAGAGCCAGCAATTCTCCACAAAGCGGTTATGTCATCTTATAACTAAAATAGTCAAAGTTTAAGGCGCATATTTTTTCTGATTCCACAGTTCCCCCCCTTTGAGACTATTTAGTCTCACTTTACCCTTAAATTTTTATTCTCATGAGCCCCTCTATTTCATCATGCAGCCTTTCATGTTTTCTTTTAATCTGCTCACACTTTTGTAA